TATGGTAAGTATTTCGGCTACTCGCTTCGTTATGCAACATCCGAGTCGCATAATTGTAGGAAAACATACGAAAGCACAGCCACAGTATTGGAACCTACGGCAAAGTCTAGCAGATAGATGGACTCTACCCTTTAGTCTCTACGGGATTTCTAGTCTTAGACTGTGGTCAAAGACTAGCTTCAGACAACTCAAATATAGAATTAGCTGGGTTCGATGTCCAATCACTCGCAGTATATGCATTTATGCATACTATAAAATAATGATTCAGGACGCCTGATATCTACATTATCTTCCGGCATGCAATTAAATTTCGAGGTATATTGTATTTACATAGTTCACATAGTGAACTTAGCACTAGAAAGTAGATAAAGTGAACTATATCCTTACCCTACAGGAGTTGATACACCATGCTAATTACGTTTAGGTATACTATTGAATCTTGCAGTATGCGTATATTGCAATTGCTTAATTATTGTAGTAAACTCAAGATACTTGAATTAATACACGAACCAAAAAACCATATCGACAATTTTCCTAATAGTTGTTAGATTGCATATAGATCTACTAGATTTGCATATCAACTCTTTTCCTAAACGAATTATTTCCTTTGCACATTACTCGTAACTATTGTTCTAATATGTCATAACTGGTATAATTACGTAAGTGGCGATTAAGCGGCTAATTCCTAAAATAGTTTTATGAATTTATATGATTGTACGCTACTATTTTCATAAATTTCTTGCACTATGAGCTCTGTACAGAGATCATCTGTCTGGACAGCAGTGGTCCAGCTACTAGTTTAAGCGTAAGCAAAAGCCTTTCTTTATTTTATGAGATGCAAAATCATGCTAGTGATATTTTAAAATATACTGTAACCTTTCATGCTTCGCTTAATAATTTCGTCACGTAGTGTGCAGATTATACCCTTTTTTCTACGACACATGTGGCGTGCAAATTATTACAGTCTTCCGGCCTAGCCTTCTAGATTAATAAAGGCTAGCGTATAATTTGTGCACACCTGGTAAATATTTATTGTTATACTGCACATATTTTGTACTTTTAAAATTAATTATATATTATTTCTAAGGCAATAATACAACTGGTAATGCGATCTGTATCCGTATCTGAACTATTTGATATTGGTTTATAGAATTTGTCCCAATTTATTTCCTTCTATAGATTAGGTCTACTATGGGTAATTTATACAAGTATTTACGGAAAATGACACTAAAAACTATTCCAGTGTGGAATTTTCATAACAATTTTAGATAAATTTGATACGATTTGGTACTGTACCACAATTTGTCGAGTTATTTGTCAAATAATTCTGCTATACATCCCGTAGGATTATTTTCATTTTACAGTTGTTAAAATTACGATGAATGTCATCATCTTGCGGAAATTAAATATCCGGCAAAAGTTAAATCTATTCATGAATTAATTATTATGCGAAGATAGAGTTTATTAAATCGTATCTGTAAATTATGATGAGTTCCATATTTGATTATAAATTTGACAAGATTAAGTCGCTAATATTAATGCTAAGGTTAAATTTCTATGAGAATAGTTTTTGAGGCTGCTCTTTAGCTATAATGCAAAGGAAATAAAACTGCAATTCTAGGTGGATTATCCGGCCACATAGTAATCTTTAATAATTCTATATGTAATTATGATTTATTAAAAGTAGGAATACATTACTTCTAAACTAGCATGACCGAGAGTCATTTTACTAGTCAGGGTTTTATTGCATTACACCATGTGTCTACAAGGCACGAATAAACACCGTAGGAGACAGGAAAATAATTTATGCATTGTTAGGCATACATTCTTTGAATGCTTGCATACTTGTGTATATCTCTAAGCCATTTCTATTGATTACAGGTACCTGGTACTTTCTTCAAATTTATTTTTACGAGTATGCGTAATATCTAGCCTTAAATCATCTTATTTCTTTAGCTCGACAATTTTTACCACAAAAGTAATCATTTTAGAATGTTATTACCTAATGAAATCCGCTTCAGAATTACTTAAATAAATTTAAACAGCGCAGTCATAACAAGGATAGCTTATAAAAATTTATAGTACTAAACTCTATGAGGGAATGTAAATGAATAAAGTAGTTGAAAAGGTTATTAGCTACATTGCTAGCTCTTGCACACATTTGACCCTCAAAGGACACTACATCAAGTTTAGGTATACGAGTATAATTAATAAGTTGCATACTATTTGTCTAGTCAGCTGGTGGATGTTGCAATAAATTGTAATAGTAATAAAGAAACCATATCATTTAATTATGTCTCACTGCAGTCGCCTGCAGTCTGGCAGCTGTATAAGATTAATTATTTTGTTATCGAAGAAATAAAACTAATTAATGGAAGATAATACTAAAGCATAGCAATTATAATAGAAGGCCAATGTATTCGATCACAAAGGACACTGGAATATATTCATGAAAGTACGTTCCAGTTGAGCACGGAATTAGACTGTAGAGTTATAGCACCATTAGATGCATTAGCTTCGGACGTGGTAGATGCATGGGTAGTGGCAAGCAATTTAAAATTAAAAACTACGGGGAATCGATGGAATAATGATTAAGATTGAAAAGTACTGATAATTGTACAGTTTTTCTACTAATTAGCTAATGATATGACGCATTGCCGCATACATACCCTAGCATGACAAAAACAACGTATTGTAGAAAGGAAAGATATGAGATTATAACTACACCTGTACAGCATCATGTCAACGAGTCTTTACAACATAATTCGACATAGACGTAAAGCACGATCCTGCATGGCCAACTAATACGTGTGCAAGGTAAGGGTATTGCCGTAAGGCATGCAAACATATAGTTCGTTTTTGTTTTTCTACTATCACATTTAAAATAGCTCGACTTTGGCTACGTCTGTTATTTAAGTTTTGAAGAAACGAAGGAGACAATATAGCGTTCACGTCTTAAGTACTACAATAGCTATTATGCAATATGCAGTAATTAATCAATTATTATTGTCAAGATACAGACAGGCTTTTAAGTCGTCATAGTAACTTTTGTCATTAACGGATGCAGTAATAATAAATTAGCGAATTAATTAATATAAGACATATTATCACTTGGCATCAGCTGTCTTGAGTCATCCTGCAAATTGATGGAAACTTATTAAGGTCTTTATTGTGTTGCACAGCTGATTTATGATGAGGCAACAGAATTATTGATTATGCTAGACCGTTGTCTGCATCACCTTTTCCATTATGATAGATATTTATTAGACGATATGAGGTAATAAAAGATAAAATAAATAATGAACTATTTCAAATATGCTACGGTATGTAGTCTGTTTAGATATGATTATGAAAACAAGAGATAAAGTAATTTCCTAGGTGTAATACTGGACGTCGTTATTTCTATAACATGTTCCTAGTACAATATTTAATAATAAAAATTATTATATCTGCACCATCAACTCTTATGAAGATTCAACACATGAAATGTATGCCGGGTGCATCTGCTTTGCTTGTGAAAACATCAGATGATCGAGCTTTCTTTATTATAGGTCGTGTTAGAAAATTAGGCATTAATTGCGATGATAAAGTATTTGAAAAAGCATATATGGCATAGCGCCAATTAAAATGGTTGCATAATGCCACGTATTTCAACACTTACATCTTTAATATTAATTACTATAAGAAAGGAACATATAAAGTATACGTATAGTGTATACTTTATAAAATCAAGCATTAAAGCAGATAAATTTAGCTCTTTCATGATTCGTAGCTGAAATGTCTAAATCATCGACTATCTTAATGTAAAGGAATTTAAATCTCATATAGAAGATGTAGTCAGCTAATACGGTACTCTGCGAGATATTCCGTACAAACATGCTAGTATCTGTAAAATATTCGTTATCGAATTCGGTCATATAGAAGAGTAGAAACTTACAGAGTACACATGTTGGTTCTAAAATCTAGTGCTAAGATCAAATAGGTTTAGCGTTTGCATCGATAATTATTAGATCGCTGTAGAGCGTTACGCATGGTAGTATTTGTCGATTTTTGATTCGAAAATGTAGAGATTTAGAAGATTAAGCGAGAAGAAACTTACAGCATTTACATCTTCGTATGTTCAGTGCATAAAAACTAGTATCAGAATAAGCAAAACTAACACTTAGTACACTGTACGGCCGAAATTTTATGCTTGATTATCAAGGTGGATCATTCTAAATGTCATATACAGTACAGTAAGGTGTCAACTACGTATCTGCAGAGTAAACTATTAATGCAGGTCTGTATTGACATTTTTTTCGACAATTTCACCATCAATACTTGATGAATCGTTCTAAATGTATTTAGATATGCTAAATATTGTGCTTTATAAGATAAATGCAGGCAAATCATTAAGTTTTGCCTACAGTTTATTTGGCATCATTCATTACTTAATTCAGAATTTAATATTAACTTACAAAGTATCTTGCCTGTATGTTAATCCTGACAGGCTGGATTCATAGCAATACTAAATATATCATAACCCACTATGCTCATGCTAGTGAATTAGCGCCCGAGGTTAGGTTTGATATATGATATAAAATTATGAGCTCATAGACCAAGTGTTTGTGCTTTAAAGGTCTTACTGCTCTCAACTGTGATTAAATATTCACACAGTAAAATGCATGAACAACAAATATGCCAGTCTATTATCCACCCTGTTAAAGAGGTAGTCGATTTTATATTATTTCTTATATTCAGGAAGGTAATTTTAAATAAGGCTAAACAAATTAGCTCCCAAAAATGTCAAGTTATAATTCGTATCACTATTCAATTTATATAGTCTAAGATTAATGATAATGCTATAGATTACTATTTACGCTCTATATGTATAACCATAAACTTTTAAAATAGAAGTACATTTACATGTAGAGTGATTTAATCTTCTGTCATTTATAGATCTTGGTTGACGTTTATCTGAATAATAATCATGAATATTAATATACTGTATTACGGAAATGCTATGATTTTACAATCGAGAAGGTATCATACCTAAAAGAGAAACATTATAAATAACCAACTTATGACAAATTGCGAGTGCAAATAGTAAGTCAGGCGATTGATTCTTATATTTCTTTATTTATCTCTTATCGAAAATTTTAAATATGACTAAGAGATAGTCAAAAGTAAGTAAAGCAACAGGTTGCTTTATTATATGAAAACAGTTTCCGCGCGAGGCAGAAATTATACTAAAAGTAGCGGAACAAACGCAAATAGTAGTTATTTACTACAAGCTCGTTAGTAACTGTAGAAGATTTATAACTTTTACAGTAAATCAGTAGTTATTATCAACAACTTAAAGCTATAAAATATTATGGAACAGATTGGTGATGGCTAATATTTTACGAATCACAATCATACTTACAAAGATAACGATTTAACATATTAATTTAAATAAATTCTTTTGATGCAAACAAATATTACTGTATGTATCACTTTTCCATTCGCAAGAAATACGGTTATTGCTATTTAAAGGGCTAGATGCAATATATTCAGATAGTGCATACAGTATGTCAAAAAAGACATTTATGGATAACTTAACGTTTAACATACAAGTAAAAGAAGTATACGCGTTAGAGTAACCCATAGGAATTCCATTTGTTTAAAGCGATTTTACTCTAAGAGATAATTGTCCTTTGAAGTTGATAGTGGTATGTTTAAGTGAAGTTATACCGGTATAGTCTGTAGTAAAATAACGAAAGAATTATTATCGAATCACTTTTAGAGGGAAGAAGTAAAATTCGACGGATACTTTACTATTAACAATCAACTCAAATATGTTTACCTTGGCAAATTAGAATCATTTCTCACTCTTGAACCACTCAGCATTTGAGAACTAGTACCCTAATAATTTAACAATATCGTCGATAATCATTAGATAATCTACGTAACGTACCGTACTCATTCGTCTTCCTTTATCGGAAGAAAAACTAATTAAGTAGCATCTTCTATAAGTTGCATGTCATATAGATATAAATCTTACTCGATTTCGAAACGATTTAATAACATGATTTGTTAACTCTGGTGGAAGTTCATAGCTACGACATAGCAAATATGCTTGTTCCATTGTGATTGCTGCCAACGTTCTATAATGCATATCAAATTGCAGTAGTATTAGTATTATCTAAGTAAGTATACGATTAAATTAATTTCATTATTTTCTTGATATGCCTAAAGATACAGAAAGACTACCTTTCAGCTCCAGAGCGGCAACCAACAATTTGTATAGCTCCTATTCTAGCTGCCGCTTCTGATGAAAGTAACAAGATGTTAGCGTTATCTTGTCCCATCGACGCATCCATGATGCACTTGTCTAGCAGTTTAATTAGCTTCTCAGCTGTATAAAGAGGACGATATAGCTGCAATCATAAAATAACAGATTATATCTCTCACATGTATAATTTAAACCAAATCCGATTTTATACGACAGAATATATACACATCCTTACTCTATGAAAACAGACAACTTGTGACGATCTTGGCAAATGTTTTGTATCAAATATGGCGTTTCTATAATTGAGATTATTAGTAATTTACATGATTTAAGCGAGGTTAAACATGATTAATCGGCGCTAAAAATAAAAGAAAATTACGATACGTAAACATAAACGATATCTCAACCTATAATACCACTTACTTAAATTTTCTATAATACTTGCGTAACGACTTCAACGAGTCAGTATTAATTGCAGTTTGCATATGAATGGCTAAGGAGTTTTCCGGATCGGTTTTATCTTCAACTTTTTCTAATCCTATTTATGCGAAAATACCAGCATTTTAGTCTGGTATTTGGCAAATAGTACAAATTTACAATTGTAAAATACCATGCGTAAACAAAACCGGAGTAACTTGCACACTTTGGCCTCGCTGCAAAGCGTCTGGTAGCTTTTGGAATAAATTTTCGCCCAAGTTTATTATCACATCCAGGTCTGATCTATCTCCTTCAAATACCACTTGATATTCATCAGCTACATTACAATATTAAATGAAGTAATTATTAGCGAAATAAAATACTCACGATATAATTAGTCATTTTGATGCTCTGAACAACAACATTTAGTATAAACTATTAAAAACTGTATCCTAAGATTAGGTGATACAAGTAGACAATTGTGGCATCTATGATATTATTTTATGTGTGCGTGCGTCTAGTAGCTTATGTCATGTTCGATAAAATACTCATACATTTATATTTTCGGATTCTAAGTTCTGTATTTTAAATTTTAGTTTATGTAATGTATCTATTTTAGTGATACCTGTGTTGAACATACTATCGTCCAATAATTTAAATCGAATAGCAATTTTCGAAAGATCTTGAATAGCTACCGACATATCTTCTAGCATTGCAGTTTCACTGCCCTGTAAAAGAAAGATCTGTTGTAAGATCTTATTATAGTTCTCTGACACACAAAATTTATCCCTTAACTTACTGTTCGTGATGATAATAAAGCTTGAAAGTAGACTAGTAGTCCAATTTTACTAAGTTGCTGTAACCATTTCGCACTAGTAGCTTCGCTGTCGGTAGTGTATTCTTGCAAGTTATTATATATATCGTGGATAGCAGAGTATAATTGCGAAATGAATGTAGATAATACAGCCGTTAAAGCTTGACTGAAAACCGCATCGCGTCTCTCGACACATTTTGTATCTAAAGTTATATGCAGAGCGGGTAGAGTTAATATAAGAATGCTATGAAGACAAAATTCAAATTTATCTTAAGATATAATTATAGCTTACTTTCATCGCTAAAGATGGTCATAAGTAATCGTAATCGAACCTCTGTTAAAATAGCGGTTAAAAAAATACCGTTGGAAGATAAGTATATTTATCATTCCTTATTTTAAGTACGTAGCGACGTTAATAAACACTTTAATTTTTAGTTCATATAAAGATTTAGATATGAGTGAATGAATTCGTTTGTATTCTGCTATCGCTACAGTTTAAGTATTTAATGATATGCACCTCTTAGAGATTGCTTAAGCTTCTCTACTTTCTTATTAAAAGTCTCTATACAGTTGAAATTTTCTTCGGTATCTTTATCAACTTGGTTAAGTAAAGCGATTAATTCCGTACTAATGGTAGTGAAGTCCCTATTAACCTCTAAAATGATGTCCAGAAAAAATGTTAAAAGTAGATATGCTTCTATTAAGGGATAATGATAAATTATGATACATCTAATGAAATGAAGTAAGAACTTAGTGTCGTTTTGATGCTCTTAGTTGTAAGATTGATATGATTTAATAAACTGGCATTTCCTTGTTATCCTTATAACTATTGTAATTTACCTGACAGCAGTAAAGGTCGATTAGATTCGGTTTGCTGAAAGATTAGTTTAATATGATTTGACGATACAATAGCATTTAACTTCTCTATCATATCCATAAACGAATTGCACTTATTTCTTTCTTTTAAACCGTTATTGTCTGCGTTATCCATTTCATTGAGAAAAATCCTTATTTGGTTCAGCATATGGCGACACTTAGCAACAAAATCTTGCTTGCCACGTAATAAGCGCTAAGAAATAGTCGTACATCAATTATGCGACTTAATACAGATTATGAAATTTCGGATTTTACCTTTAAGCCGCCTGCATGGAATCCTTGCATAACACCTGATGGAATGGCCATCCCAGTCTTGGAATGGATTGTTCGAGTAACTAGCAGTCCATCAACTGCAAAATTAGCAGTAAGATAATAGAAATTTAGGGAGTACTTATGCAATGAAATTTTAACTATTAGGTTAATGAATAGTTTTATCAGGGCAATGTTAACAGATGCTGTAAGCCATACTATGAAATAATTTGGAATTAATGCACTGCTATTGCTATCAAGAATACAGATAACTGTGTAATGGATCAAAATTACCTGGATAAGTAAATTCTTTCAAATGGAGATAATCGATATCTTCCCCATTATGCGTTTCCGGTACTAATGACGGCCGGTAATTCGTAGAGCAGTAAACTTCCAGTTCATGCAAATAGCAACGCAGTGGACAGAAAGGATACCGAGCAATCAGATTATTATTCTCTTGTTTGGCTTCTCCTTGGCATTTAATGCAATTTAACGAGCTAGCAGACTACCATAAATATAGCGCAATGATTATAACGTAGTCAGAATTCTATGTACAATAATAATTTTAATTCAAGATATTATTATGTGATGTACTGTAAAGTTAAGCACCTCCCGATAATTATCAATCCGTTCTTTGATAGTAGAGAGGAAATTTGTATAGCTGTTAGCCCATGATTTTGACCTTTTCATTTGGTCACCGATTGGACTACTACTCTTAGAGGGTATAGTTTCTGCGTTACTAACACCAAGAAGTTTAGCAGCCTGTATATATACGTGAGATAATTTGGGTTACCTATCGTAATGAAACGTATAAAATTGTAACACCTAAATTTCAACAACTGCTTGTCATTGCCTTGCTCATCTGTAGTACTTGATCCGGGAAAGCGGATGAAAATTCCATCTCAGGCGATGCTTTCTTTTTGGTTTTACTGAAGGACTTTAAAAGTTTTCGTCGTATTCCACTTTTTTCTTTATTAACCATTTCATCTGCTCCTAACAATTTCATTGCCTATACATGTAAATTAGAAAATAAAGTTATGACATCATTTTATTTCGTAAAAAGATCTCCAGAGAATTTACATGGTCTCTATTAAAAGGACTTTTGGACACCGCATATAGAGGATGTACAGCTGTGTATAACTTGGGTAGACTGTGTATAATATATATTTGAGAATATAATGACTGTAGTGAAATTATAATATTCATAATATTATTCAAAAGCTTCTTTCACCTTCAACTGCTGTCGAGCTAAATCAGATTTACTGGAGTCTTCACTAGTAGAGACATCATCTTCTTTGTCATTTGGAGTAATAAATTCAACCTCAATTGATTCCAACTCTTGCAGTAAGCGCTCATCAATATAACTAAAATGATAATACAACTGAAGAAATGCAGTAAATTAAGTAAAATGCGACTGTTAGTTTCTCAAGTTATGACTTTCACAACGACACTACGATGCAACTTCCTAACCCTAACCTCAATCCTAATGGGGAGGCTTAGAATTTAGGTAGGAATGAAACAAAAACACTGATGTACAAATACTACATTAAATATAATTTTGCATTTTAGTAGTACATGATTTTTCATACTTCAGCTGGTACTGATGTAGTTAAATCACTTTCGGTTACTCTTTCTTGAAGTTGACAAGGCTTCTTGTCAATTGTTAAGTATTCGTAATTAGTAGATATTTCCGTAGACAGACTAACGACACTTGATATATCAGAATCAGAACTGAATATGCTATGATGGCGTTCTCGTGAATAGCCACTATCTTTAAGGCTTGCTTCATCACCAAGACTTTCAGCTGTATTTTCTATCAAACTGCTATAAGATCCACTGCTTATGCTACTAACTCGGCGGTAAAATTGCCTTGGCATACTGTTGCCGGTACTCGTAGATTCAAAGCGATCTCTACTCTCCCTATCGTAAGGCATTAAGACAATAGAACATATTAAGCTAATGAGTTAGTGAAGACTTATTTTACTGAGTGAACTTCCTCAGTTACTTATTTTACAGGAATTAATACTCTACTAATAAGCTTAACAAGATAGAATTTGTCTGTCAGTATGTTATTAACATGTAGAATTTACATGTAATGAAGTATTTTAGATTGATGTATATTGCATTCATCTGCTACATGTTGAGTTATGAATTATAAATTTGTAACTTTATTACTTGTATGATTCATCATCAACTTGATCGATGTCATCAAAGTAAACAGAAGATGTATCAAAACCAGTATTGTCTTCACTTATTAAACTTGTTAAGGATCGAGTTCTAAGTAATTCCGGATGTTCACTATTAAGATGAGTTGGGACTGGAATTGTTTCAACTAGGTATGTACAGATATACAGATAAATAATTAACAAAACATATATTGAGAGTCTTCACATCAGATTAGTGTAGTAGATTAATTTAATTTTGATTTAATTTTGTATAAGCCATTCTTTATCGTATTTTACTACAATACCATCTTTCATTTCTAGTGAATCATCGGACTCAGTGGGTGAATTCTGAAGGGATGGCGCTAATGAACGAGAAAAATAACTCTCTCGAGATGGTGATCTTGATGACAGTCTAGGAGAAGCTAGATGATTGGAGTGCATTGGTATGGACAAAAAAGAATCCTTTTCCACGCTATTGGTATTGCCATAGCGATATAAAAAGAGGGGCAAAAAATATCATAATGAATATTAGTTATCGAAATTAGTAGAGAATTAGTCTAGTTCCGTGCTATAAGAGTACCTATAATCTTCAACAGGGATTATGCTTTGCAATAGGGTAATTTCATCAATGATTTTAAATTTAGCGTCGTTGTCAGTCGGAGAAACATTACCACTCTCTCTATAACCAATCTCATCGGTATGGAAACGATATAATTGGTTGGAATCTTTAAATTGGCCACGATCGTTGACTATCAAGCCAAATTACGACACATATAAACCTCAGTACAGAACATGTAATTTGATAAACTTAATAAAATTGAAATGCTACCCCTACCATGTCGGAGATATTTCGTTTCGCACAACAACTGGCCTAATACACACCCTTCTTCCCTTGTGTCAACGTCGCCCTAGGAAATTTAATGTAATATTAGTTCTCAGAAATCAAAATTCTCATAAGGGATTATGCCCTAAGCAGCTACTTTGCAGTAGTTTATAGTCCGATTTATATTTATATACACGTTCACGGGTGGAATACGCAAGCAGGATACGGTACAATAGATAATCTTGTTGGCTATTTCTCATATTACTTGCGCTAAAAATGCTTACTTGTTCTATTAGCCAATTAACTAACTTAATACCGGTCACAGATTGAGGGAAAACCTTCAGTTTATCCTTGTAATTTCTAAATCATTGAAATATGTAGTTACGTTATAACAAATTACGAGAATCGTCTTACACTATTGATTTAGCGAATGAATTATTGTGATTCATAGACAAAATCACTATTATTGCTACTTACTTCAATGTAGGCTTAAGCATCCCATGTAAGCGAAAGTATATTAATGCAGACTGGATATGATAAAGCAATTAATTATGAGCGTAAATGAACATTCACTTTTTTAGAAGTACTATCGCAATAACTATTTATTTAAGCTTTGAACATGTTGCTAACAATGGATAAGGCATCCAACGGTGCGGTAGCATCTTCATATGTGCCATCATCATAGCGGAATCGATACCAATAATCATGGTTATCAAATTGAATTTGATCATCCACTGGAAGTGATGTGAATTATCAAAGGCAAGGCATTAATATCAAAGAACTTTTGACTCTACAGGAATTTTAAACTGATTTATTTCATACCATGATGGATTAAGTTGCATTCTTGAAATGTTTGACCTAATTTAATTGCTTCTTCGACAGTAGATGATAAATCATTTTTCATCAGCCAAGAAACAAGATCGCTTTTCAAATTAAAAATATTAAATCATCTTATTAGACTAAGTGCTAAAATGATGCCGTCCAAATGCGAGTACTCTCAAATATTAGATAACTACTACAGTGTATTATTATGAGGGTGAAGAATCAGTAACCGTTCCTAAAGAGTTTTAGCATAATCACCTCCCAGTAAAGCATTTGTCTACACCAACTTTATCCTTTTTAGTTCGATAACGTATAATCGAATCACTTTCTGCATGTATTCTTTGATAGATTTGCTCGGCTAGTAAGGGAATATGTCAATACAGTAATATCATTGGAATATTCTCGAGATGTGACGTAATTTTTGATGTAAAAGTTTGTTGAAGTCTATACTTAAATTAATTGCGTAGCGGTTTAAGGACTATATAAATAAACACCATTAATTTATATACTATATTAGGAACGCATTGATTCTACCTTTGATGACTAATCTCCTGGATATATATTTCTCGCGAGGTGCACTACTGCCAGCTAAATAGAAACGGAAGATATGTGGTTGCTTAAAATTATCATATAAATGATGCAAAATAGCTGAAAAATTATATAAAGACCGAAAATTTTCATATGCGATATTTCGGTAACTAACTTGCATTAGGTCGCTTAGCATTTATGCTTGTTAAAGCCTCTAACCATAAATTCTTTTCTTCTTGAGAACTTGCATAAACTGTTATCCACTTGCCTTTTGACATATTATATATTTTCCAGGCGTTATATACCGGTTTATGGTTACCAAGCTTATCTAGAACTAAAAACGTTATAATAAAATAGCAAATTAGCCTTGCGAATCTTGCCAATGCAGAAGAACATCAGATATGAGACGTTAGAATGACACATGTCTACTGTTTAGTATGACATTTAGTTATTTCTAAATAATCAAAATTGGTGAAATCAGGCTTATAAACACCTTTGCCATCCTTTACGCTTTCTATATTCATCCCCCGTGTCATAATTTTACCGCGATAAGTATATTCTGTTGCACCCAACGTTACTATAAATTTACGGTAATTTTATATGATTTAAGCTTGCAAATTTTGAGTGTTTAGACATTTATGATGATGCAAGTTATCAACTTTTCTTACCGTTAGCAACACGTTGAGATAGGCTTCAAGCAATAGGAAGAAAAAAAATATTTAATTCAGAATCAAGGTAGGACCACAGAATTTAAGTTCACAGTCAAGTAACGCGCTAAGTTTAACCGGTAGTGCGAAAATCATTGCATTTTCGTTCAACTGCAGTAATTCCAATATAGTATTGCATATACACCATAGAGAACGTTTAAAAGTTATAGCAGTTTGTTTCTGTGCTTAAAATATTCTGATATTAATAAAATCTAAGGTATAACTAGATCTGCTGTATTAGGTAATGGAAGAAAGGGTAAACTTTTCAAAAAGTAACTCAGCTGATACTTAGATTCCGGATAATTTCCGCTAAATCGCTAGTGAATGGTAAATCATTCCCTCACCTTCTACTTTCCTTTTTACAACATATTAATTGCTTCTTAAATAAAATAAAATAAAGTTCTTCAGCTCCATGGGGTGTCAATTTCATTAAAGATCCTTTTTTCAGTATTTTAACCTCTTTTTTACTAAAATCCAATCCCTACAAAGTTCATGGTATAGTCAGGGTTTTTCATATCTACAATTCATATCTTAAATGTATTATTTTTAGCAGATATACATATTGATTCTTAGGATATTACAAATGACATTATAAATTGCCATTATTGCTACGGTTTAAGCTTTAGCGCGATTATTATCGCGGTAGATTTGTTGTAGTGTTCCTCGCTTTTATAGCTAGTTTGGAGGCTGAATTGTATGGCACAATATTCACCATACAATAAACTCACCGTCCACCCTTTTATAGAGGCAACCAACTCTTCAAGGGACTCTAATTCTTCCAGTTGTCGCTTTATCTCGTTGACTTCTGAGCAAACATTTTTAATTTCCTGAAATGTATCTAGTACCGTTTGGTAGTCTACGTGACTTTCAGGCGTTAGCCTTAGTAGCTCCTAAAACAAATAATAGCAATATAATTACCGCTCTAAAAATGTTATAAATAATTTGATATGCACTACGCATTACCTAATTAGTAACCTACATTCTATGATATAGTATTCAAATAATAAAACCACGAAATGATATTTACTAATTATTGCACTGTAATTATGAGCTCAAAATATATATGTAATGTGCGAAGGATATAAATTCTGAAGGTAACCGAAATTAAGTACAGATATATAAGTTTGATCAGCAAATGTATTCAAAGGACCGAAACATTCATTGTATTACGTTTTCATCATATGTATCAATAATTATATTACCTTGAAAAGTAAAGGATATTTACAAATACGTTGTACAGGAGTAACAAGGCAGCTTGCAAGATAGTCAATTTCCTTCCCTTTAGTTACTTTTTCCATACCTTCCACTTTGGCTGCTTGTTCTACACATGACTTAATTAATAGTGATATCGTGAAAAACACAAGTAACTCATATTTAGTATTACATAGAGGTATTACATTCAAAACATGGAACTTATATTGCATCTTATAACTACTACCTTAACATCATGTGCACTATCGTATGAATCGTATGATAGCCATTAATGCTAGATTTTATATTGTTAATGCCTCGCATTGCTATAGATACCTTAACGTTATCACTTTTGAGCTGATCTTTCAGAATATCTTCAAGAAATCCGATAGCTACTTCATGACTATTACAATAGCTTGCATAAATTTTTAAATCTTTAGCCTAAATAAAATTGAAATTTATACAAATGCGTTAATAATTACCAAGAAATAATGTCCGCAAGACGACTATAATATTATCATTATTGATACAGATCACTAAAACTAGTATTTTAATATTTCTAAACTCACAATATTGTACTATTATAATAAATTTATTTTACTCTATTACTAGTATTACTGCTGTGCCTGTAAGAAAGCAGAAACTGCACAAAAACTAATTACTGTTATGAGATGCAAGATCTACCATTAGAAAACCTTCTTGATATAGTATGGTTAATGAAATAGTATCGGAGCAAACAAGGCAATCGAATTCTTGTAACGGTATAACTAACTAACGATAACATAACTGCATTAAAATGAATTATTTCTATAGAAAATAGTGTAGCTTTGCATATATCCATTGCAAAAGCTTTCTGAAACTATTTACTTTCAATGCTCGTTTCAATAACATAATTTCAATATACATTATCTTAATTTGAACTTACAAATATAAAAAAAGTATTTGCAATAGAATTTTTGTCGTCGTTCTTTTCATTCATATCATGCAATAATTTACAACTTAATTGATATAATTCTTCAACATTGCCCATCAGAGATTCTACTTCACTGATTGATATGCAGCTGGTTAACTTTTTACTGGACCGAGCCAATAAAATCTCTTTTACCTATACAGAGATCAAACTTATTTTAATGTCCTATGACGTAACTACATGA